CAAACACGTGGACATTCCTCAAGACAAAAGATCCCACTAACTTTGAAAGTCGCAAGACGTTAGCGTATATACGTTGAAACCACACATCGATGTCAAATCGAAAGTCATTGTATGATGGAATGACCTCATCCACTCTTCGAAAACCAAAATAGTGAGAACTAGCGGTAAACTAGTGTGAGCTGGGTCGGTGTTTCTAAAGAAACATTTGTGTAAAAAGATAAACTTAACACCCTAAAAAAGGTGATATAAGCCATTAACGTCCGAAACATCAGTAAGTTATTTCACATCCTTTTTTTACGGTGTTAAATTTATCTTTTTGAAAACCAAAATATGCCTTTCGATTCTATTGTTTTTGAATAACAAATTTTGTATCGTTTTAGTCTAAGTTTCTATTATTACTAGTATATATATATTTTTTTTTTTCAAAGAGGAACAGGGGTGACTTGTGGCCCTAATCACCACCCCTGGATCCGTCCCTGAGCTATTTAGTAGAYAGCCTATCACTCTTGAATGCGCTGTTGAAATAAAGCTAGGTTGTATAAAAGTTGAACTAAAAACAAATGCAATATTGTATGTATTTTGCAACAATCGGCCTGTAGCATCCTGTTCAAACTAAATGCTATAGTTGAAGATAAATATACTTACTACTTCATATTGTCAAATCGAGTGATTTGGGTATTGTTTTTGTTTTGTTTTAGACAAATTAATTATTTTAACAAGTTTTGATTAAAAGACCCCACGTAAACGGTCAAAAACAGTCACTTCCGATTCTCAGCCTCGCTTTCATGTTATACATATAAATGAGTCCAATTTTAACAACGTTCCCATGCCTCAATTGAATTAGACTTTTAGTATGTTGTTTTAGATGCTTTTCTGAGTTAGATTATGTAAAGAAACCTTCTGTTGCAATTAGTTCTAGGTCAAATTGTATTTTGACTGGACTATATCTTGTTAACCAGTTAAATGTCATATTTAGGTGTTACTGTTATTTTGTGATTTTGCGCTATGTATGTGATTACGTCATGTTTTATGGTGTCTTTGTCGTCTTCTAATAATGTGACTCTAAAAACCCGAAGAGAAATATAGACTTTTTGGAGAAACATCTTTTGAAGGAATCATATTTTCATTATTGAACTTTATCATTTTTTAATTGCAATATCGTTTGGTCATGTACACAAAAAACTTTATATTAGACGTAAGATCTGAGCACGCCCTCTTGATGGTCACTGTCTTGTTCCACGCCCTCTTGATCGTCACTGTCCTGTACCACACACTTTTGATCATCACTGTCTTGTACCACGCCCTCTTGATCGTCACTGCCTCGTACCACGCCCTCTTGATGGTCGCTGTCTTGTACCACGCCCTCTTGATCGTCGCTGTCTTGTACCACGCCCTCTTGATGGTCACTGTCTTGTACCACGCCCTCTTGATCGTCACTGCCTCGTACCACGCCCTCTTGATCATCACTATCTTGCACAACGCCCTTTTGATCATCACTGCCGCCCTCTTAAAAATCGTTTCGTATTGGTTTAAAAAGGCTAATCCTCGGTAAATCTTGCAGTGAAATTTCTCAGCAGAAAACCCACATATTACATTTCTATTAGTTGTTAGTATAAACATACTAATGGTCTATCACTCATACTGCGCTGTGGTTGGCTACTCTACTAATGGTCTAATTTGTGATAGACCACTCG